TTTCGTTTCAACTTGTATTCTTTGAAATTTTTGGAATCTCTAGCTTCAATCAGAAATCAGTTAGGATATACATAGGATATGCTTCATTCCTAATTCCTTTTTTTCTACTCACTGTTTTTAGTTCATTCTTGGGATTTTTTTTCGTTCCATTATCTGGTATCTTTCAGGTATTTCTTAAATTGGTTGATGAATTAAGTCATTTCCATGTGGACGTAATCTATGCGAATTTCAGTCGTTTAATCATATCAACTCATAGAATTGAATTACCAGAAGCGTTGGCCCGTGTAGATTATTTCACGCAATTATTACGTACACGCCCAGGAACACTGTTCACTCATATGGATTTGCAGTATGTTACCAGTTGGCGTCAATTAATGTGGATGGACTCCGCCAATTATGCTGGTGTTAAGGTTAGTTACTGTTTGATTTTCGTTCAGACGTAAAATAATAGCGGTACTTTCTGCATTATAACTTCTCCATGCATGAAATTAATCTCTTGTTGTGAACAGCACTAGGTAATACAAGCTCTGTGTTTGTGTCCTTGGATAAAGAAAGTTTAAATTTCAGGATGAAGCGAAACGTATTCATTGTCATCAACTTCGATATTCCTACTTAATTTCCGGTATAAGTTATTTTTGTATATTATTCTTCATCTTTTTTGTGTATTCCTTGCTTGTCTCATGGTCACTAAGTCGAGTGTTTTCAAAGTGACCAGCTTTACGAATGAATTGATTGACTGTCAAAATCACCTGTGTGCACACAATTTAACTATCGATAGATGGTGACTTTTTCGAGTTATGACGTACATTGTTTATAGCTCGTTCTCTGCGACCATATCATCCGCCTTCAAAGTTACATTGTTATTATTGTATATGGAATAAGGCTCAACCTGAAAATCGAATAATGGGCGTCAATTTTTCTTTTGTTTTTCTTTAAATTGGTAACTGTAGTGGAATGAAGTGCCTAACTAATTAAGTAAACATAATCACTAACATGTGGCCCACTTCGTCTCTCTATTATAATTTGGTTAGTTGAAGGGTGTACCACGCAAAGAAATGTATTATTATAATCCAATTTTCGGAAAATTTTTCAGCAACTCCAGTGACATTCTAGACTTGAAGTAAACATATTTCCGTAGGACTAATCGATGCTTGATTGTCTTAGTTGTGTCTGGCGAAGTAGCGATCCAGTTCATGATGTTAAGTGATTAAACCAATAAATCAAGTGAATTAAAAAGGCATACACCAGCAAATAGTATTTTCGTAGCTTCTCTTAGAAGCTGTCCAGCTGAATAGTGTTCTAAAAGGTCGTGGTTGTGACAATAAAGGTCAAATATTCATATCAGTTGGTAACGAAATCACAAGAATCATGAAAATTGTTTAGTCTGTTTTAGAGTGTTAAACTGGCCTATCTCTTGTACTTGCCTTTCTTTTCTCTTGAATTAAGTACTGAGTATCCCGGTAATGCATGATATGCTCAGCTATTTTTTGTTAAGTGGAAAATCTTTTTGTACTGATTTCATCGCTCTTCTGTCGATTTTAACTGATTTTAGGCTTCTGTAGAAAATCTGGTTGATGGTAAAGATATCGAATGGGGTGAGTTCGCAGTTGCACAAAATCCTTCATCTGATTCTGATCCTGACGATAAGGAGAATACACCGAATACACCACTGCCCGACCCAGAACTCGATATGCAATGGCATCTTGCACGTTATCTACCTGAGACGCGTGGTTTAAGAAGCAAATTCCAAAGTCTTCTAGCAGGGTATATACTAGCTGTTTATACTGAAATACGCAATGAACACCGACGATTGCGTAGTGCGACTGGTTCACAACCATTGGTGAGTGTTTTTTTCTTTTTCTCAGGCATCATAAACTGACTCTTTTCGTCTTACTTAAATGCATTTCATCTCTTAAGTGAATACAGATATAGTAGCTAGGTCTATCTTAAAATATGACGAAGTTTCAATCTATGACTAAATGTAATAAGTATGCTCATATACGCTGTTGTCCATAATTTTGGTTCAAATACGATGAAGATATATCAAACTATATATATATATATATATATATATATATATATATATATATAGCGCTGAATATGTTGTCTAGAAGGACGACGAAAGCTTCGCAATTAAATCAACCAGCTCAGAGAACCCAACCAATTCAATATTATCCACCTGAGCTACAAATCCTCTCCATTATTTTAAAATCTTACTAGCATGATACGCTTTTGTCTTGTCGTGAATTTCAATTTATTAATGTACTACAGGACATTAAATCACCAATTCTTTTTTGATAATCACAAAATTTCTCCTACATTCCTTCAGAATGAATCAAATCAACCTCCTGTGCCACGTGGTGATAATACTAATGAAGATTCCAATCATGCAGGCGAAGGTGAAACAACGCCGTACAAGTCAGATGCAACAGCCTCGCCTCGTGTTCGAGAATATCAAGAACGTTTACTTAAAGATCATCTAGCCCCGGAACTGTACAACCTAATCATACGATTACAGCGCAAAGCTGCTTGGATAGCCCCAGAATTGTTGAATAGTGGTAATGGCAAATCGTATACTCTACAGAATATACAGCGAAATAATGAAATTGTAACAGTCTACCTAGCAGAGAAGTCAACTACTTCACGTCTAGATTCCGATGGGACTGACAATAACTTTATTTCGAATCACAATTTAATTCCGCCTCTTTTGCCACCTCATCAAGCGGTTTACTCACTGAATTTCACTCCACTACTGGATTTCATTAAGTCACTATGCGAGGCAAGTTTGTTTTCTTTTTTACATTCCAATTCTCACACTTTTTTTTTACCACCCTTAAAGTTTTACGAGAAAAACTGGGATAATAATGCATAATTATTGTTCTAGTATCTTATGTAAACTTAAAAGGACAATTGTTGGTAACATTGTAAGTATTCTAAAGGTTATTGTTCTTTTTATACTAGAGTCAAGAGTTTCATGTGTAATCTACACACTTGAAATAGAAATATGCTTGAATATCTGAATGAGGCTCTTTCATTTATTTTGATTACTTCGGTTTAGTGTTTTAATTTAACTTTTTGGTTGTAAACAAAATATTCTGTGGTTTAGTTTCAAGTTTTATGTATTTCTTGTTTATCAATTTTCAACTAGATATTAAGCTTAGAGCCTTCTACAAAGCTACAAATCGCGGGTATGAGGCGTGATCTCCTTCGCTTGATTAATATAGGAGAATTTTCTCCTGAAGCTGTATGGATTGCACCACACATGACTCGAATTTCTCCTTTAGACCAAGATATTAATCAGAATACATTTGGAACAACTGCCATTCGTTCATTACTCATTTACCTACCCGAGGTTGCATGTCCCACATGTAATTACACACGAGACATAGACATTTGTCGGGATATAAATGTTGTATGGATAATGGATTCTTCTGTCAATTCAGTTAATTCCGAAGTTGGAAAAGAAGGTCATTGGGCTTGGGTTTGTCCACATTGTCGTACGGTATATCCACGTGCTAGATTAGAAGAAGCACTCGTTCAACAACTTGAACAAATGTCTCTTCAACACTGTTTGCAGGTTCGTTAATATCTTTCTGTGTTGCTTCTTTCACTTTTAATACATTTGGTGTTACGGTTTATATTATCAGTTTGGCCCATTGGCTGGGTCCATCCATATATTGAAGTCGCGTAAGGATTTCTGTTGGCTCCGACTCATTGGAGAGGTGTCTTTCGCTGTGATGTTAGGGAAAGACCGATTGGTCTGGTGATTATTATTTCGTGAGTTATTAAGGCTACTGGCTAGCTATTCATTTTGATTAACACCCTTCAACAAGAAGCACTTTCATCTTTATACATTGAGGGGAACACTTCTTTTCTTCAGCCATTACTTTTTCCCTCCCATACTATATTGATATCCATTTTTTAATCATTACATAAGGTTCCTTATGCCTGGAAACACCTCAGCTTCAACCAACTCTTGTGTCACAACTGTTGGTTTCCGTTCATAACTGTTCCTTTTAGGATTGTAATTATCGTTTATTGAAATCTATTTATTCGTTACATATTCATAGTGAATTGAGTAGAAGGCCTTTTCTCTGTGAACTAATTCGTTTAATTGTAGAACTAATTCTCTTTCACAGGATCTTCAATGTCATAAATGCATTGTCGGTGGTGGAATACAAGAACAGTTACTCGCAAATGGTGGTTCAGTTGCTCAGTGTGCTGATTGCTCAACCAAGCTGATGCTTACTGTTCCTACTGAGCATGCAGTTTATCGTCGTTTAGATGTTTACCGTAGTATTGGCCTACATTTTGGTTTTGAATACTTGGAGCAGATCGCCCATTGGTTGATTCAAGGCTTACAACGATAAGAAACTAATATCTTAAATATTTTTCAGATTAATCGTTTCGCATTGGTTTTCCAGATTGTGCATTCAAGAAACATTGTTGTGAATTTGACTAGATATACCTTAGATTATTATTTTTTTCAAACACTATCCCTATTTTGTATGTTGTATATTATGTTTGAAATGAATAAAAATTACCTCTTTTAGCTTCTTTTGTTTTGTGTCGCATAATACTGCTTCTTTGATTTTTGGTGTATACCTGTTAAGTCATTTGTGCGTGTAGAATGTTTGAAACTCTCTGTATTAAAAAAAATCATCTGAATTGTGTTAACTAAACATAGGATTTTCCAACATCTAATTAAGACTGAAATCCTACTACTTAAATGCGACTGACATGTCAGAAAAGCATTAGCCATTTGGTTTATTATGTTCACCAAATCTATTATTTCCATGTATACTTTGCAACTGGTCTCAGAGATTTATGTTTTATTTTCCCAGCAAGTTATGCTTTATGTACACCACACAAACATGTTATGGGATATTGATATCGAAGGGTTGTTAGGGTGTGACAAAGGAGTTATAGAAACCACTACATTGTCGGCCTTGTGGATTGAGGCTGTCTGTAAGTTCTGTTAGATTTAAATTATGTCTATGCGAACCACAAGTAATATTTTATTGATTTATTTCCTTGGTGAAGAAACGCTGTTGTGAGGTCATAATTCAAAGAAGATTTACTGTATTATTAATTTATATCATTTTAATGATTTGAGTCGGAGTCATATTTAACGGCGTAGTTGTAGCACTTGCTCCATTCACAACTGCGGTATCTGTTCATACTATGTTCGAGCCCGTATATACTCTGGTGAGGGTTTAGAAAAAGTATTTGTTTTACCGATCCAACTACCTTATTCTTTGAATGTGCACACTTCCAGGAATACATAGCCATGTTGGTGGTTAGTAAACTTAGTTGTGTAATCTTTATTTCGTTACTTTGTGGTTAAACTGTTGGTGTTTAGTAATTGGATTTCACTATATTAATTTATTTGTGTCCCGTTTCTAGTTTGTAAAGAAACTGCTCACTATATAAATCTCAGATTTGAAGCGGATTCATCATTACTAGATTAATTGAAATGTGAATTTTAATCGTTCTCCATTTTGTTTTTACTTTATTTTCAGCTTCTTGTGTGATATCATATTTCATTTTTTATATTACATGCTGATTTAAACTTTGTTCATCGTTACATTCACTATATCATCATGATTCAAGATGTATCTCCGTTTGTACAGACTATATTGGGTACTGGTTTAACATGGTTTGTAACTGCTCTTGGCTCTGTATTCTGTTTCATCATTTCTAGTCATTCTGTCCATTTACAGGTATGCAAATATATTTCTTCGTATCTTTTAATAGTTTACTTGTATAGAGATGAGGTTACTGTTTTACAGGTTTGATTACTAGTTGACATCTGTTGGAAAACCTGGGAGTACTAGACAGCTGTTTTGTCCCGATTTAGGACTCCCCACGGTACGCACTTACTGGGGTTTAAACCCAGAACTTTCCAGTTACAAGGAAATCTCATAGAGCATTCAGCCATTGGGACACGACCTAGTGGCTTATGAATTCCAACTTTTGCCAATTTTTGATATATAAAGCACCACTGTCAGCCATTGTCATGGGCGAGTAACTGATCTCCTACCTAACTTGGTGGACCCAGACGGTTACGACTTCTCACTAGTACTCCAGGTGACTTACTGTATGCAGCCAGTCATTAGTGAGCATCAGAATAATTAATAAGTACTAGTTTACAGGGAATTTATTGGTTATCGGTTTGGTCACTTGGTTATTTTTAATGAGGATTTTTTCACTTCTTTGTATTGAATGAGAATGGTCAGTGAACCAGTTATAATAATAATAATAATAATATAATAAAATATAATAATAATAATAAATATCAGCTTTATTCGAACTTTGTGTATATATTTGGTCTCAGCTCTATGTTTGACTTTAAAGGCTAATTAAGTTATGTCCCTTATGGTCTACTGATGTAAAATACTGGTTATTCAGTTCCATTTAGAGTTGTTTACTTGTCAAAATTGTGCGTCAGTGGCATAGCGGTTAGGACGCTCGCCGACCATGCACATGGTCCGGGGTTCGATCCCCGGCCGACGTACTCCTTTGGCTCGCTAAACCAGAAACAATGCTGGTAAAGAAGAAAGGTTGGGCATGAGGCTAGCAACCCCATCCTGTAAAAGTAAACACTGCCACAGAAACTTCAAGCCACCAGCTTGAAGCCCTATGTTCCACTGCGAACGTGAAGGAATAAAAAAAAACTTGTCAAAATTGAACGCTCAGTTAGTATTCACTGACGAAAGTGGTCAACAAAAGCACATTAGTGAGGATGCAACACTTAAGATTGAACAGTTCTGTTGTAACTGAATAATACTGGAATTTGGGTTCGTTCTTGCAGTTACTTGAACATGCAATAATATACAACTGATCACTCGAATACTGTTCTCACACTGAGAAGACACAGAAGACTGCCTGAGAAGGTAAAGATTTGTTTCTCCGTGCAAAATGCAATGTGACTAGAAATTACCGCTATTTTAAGTGATCTAATAATTTACTAGTTTAAAATTTTAAAGAAATATGTTCTAACTGATTAGCATGTACCGACTTGATCTTTTATCTGCCTTAGGGTCAAATGACTGGTTTACAGGTCACATAGTAAGAGTTGACGTATAATATTTCTTGGCCTTAACCAACAAGTTCATTTTTAGTTTCCGCCTGATCACAAATTTATATTCCAAATCACGGAATATACACATTTGATCATAGGGAATAAAAAGACAGTTGCAGCGAAGAAAATTTTCTTTTCGACGAAGTCATCATCTAGGCTGTACATTCGTGTATTTATATCAAATGGGTGGGAAAGTTCCAGAATAATTTCTGGTTAGGGGTCAAATTAATAAAAGTTACAATTAGGAATTAGAATGCCATAATAAACAGGGGGATGGATAAAACTCAAACAAAGTAGCATAATAACTAAGAAGATTGACATTGTGCAATTGGGGGTTCGAAATGTAAAAATAACAAAATAAACAGGAAGAGTGGATATGAAAATATGGTATGTAGACAGGGATTAAGAAACTTAAAATAACATGAATAAACAGGAAGTTTAGATAAGAAAGGCGATGGGATGGTCATTATTAAAAATTTACCTGGCCATGGCAGGGACAGGGGTTGGACGTATTTCTTTTGGATACCAAGAGTGGGTTTGAGTTTTTGGATAGCTAACGCCTCAGCTATGCCCAAATGTCTTGATTTCACTCCCTTTGATAGGTTTGATTGAATCTTGTATATTACTTTGAAGGATTTTTCGAAAGGCGCTGAATGTCCTGAGTTGACCAGATGTTCTGTCACTGAACTGTATACACGTTTTTGGCCTTCTTTTACTAGCCAGGCTGGGTAGTGTTCACGAGCGCGTTTTTCAAGTCGGCGCATGGTACGACCGATGTACTCAGCTCCACAAGAGCAAGTAAACTGGTATATGCACGTTGAGGGGGCCCAATGCGACAGCTTGTCTTTCGCGTTCTGGTTGAACAGTTTCTTGCAGGCAAACGTCTGTCGTAGGCTTGCGGCGAAGTATGTTTTCCTCAGCAATTTGAGAGGCGTTTGCGAAGGATTTTAAAGATAATAAGGACCACATTTATATAGTCATAAATTAACTTTCCTTTGATGAAGTTAAATAAATTCTCTTTTGGTGTCTATTTTGTCACACTTTTATCTAATATCCTTTCAATGTACAACGCATCATCCAAGGAGTAAAAATAACACTAATGAAATTTACCTAAATTGTCAGAACTTCTTTAGTCATTCATAGTTTGGTTTGTTAATGGTGAGAGTGATTGTTTTAACGTATTTCGCAAGTAGTTTTCTTTGAAAGTTACTGGTACTTCATGACATTAGCTATTAATATATTTCCATAGGTCTGTGAGACTCATGTGGGTACCATTCTAACCTTTCGTAGAATGTTCGAATAAGACTCTTAGACACTACCAAGTAAGCTATTTATCCTAACAAATTCAGTTTGTCATTGTGTTTTTTTTATTGTGAAAAATACAATTTCAATTGTTTAGATTATATTTCTGTATTTTTATAATATGATTTTTAGAATCAGATTCTCGATGGGTGTCTGGGTTTTTCGGCTGGGGTAAGTTGTATGATTCACCTTTTATGCATTGATTTCAGTTCAGTTTTGAAATATTACAATCTAGAATGCGTAGTGATAGGGAGTGAAATGATAGAACATGTTGACCACTTCACCTATTTGGGAAGTTGTATCAGCACCAACGGATTGATTGGTGACGAAATCTCAGCACGGATCCGATCCAAAGAGCTCGAGCTGCTTTCGCTAACTTACACCGTCTCTGGCGTAGGCGTGACATCCGGCTGTCAACCAAGAGACGTGTATACTGCTCATCAGTTCGCTCCGTCCTTCTCTATGGCGGTGAGACGTGGCCATTGAGAGCGGAACACATGAAGAGATTGTCTGTTTTTGACCACAGATGTTTACGATCTCTTTCTCACGTTAGGTGGTATAATAAGGTAAGTAATGTTGACGTTAGGCGTAGAGTGTTGGGCAAAGAGGGAAAATCAATCGAAGAGGCTATAAAGTTACATAGATTGAGATGGTTAGGTCACGTGCTGCGCATGCCTAACCATCGTCTCCCCCGACGGGCATTACTAGCTGATATAGGTGCAGGTTGGAAAAGTGTAAGCGGTGGCCAAACAAAAACATGGCATCAATCCATGAAATCCTTGACAGTTAAACTGAGTCAGGTAAGGAGATGCAGACTTCCGGGTTGGGGCCCTCGGGACTCTAAGAATCAATGGCTGGAGACAATAGGTGACATGGCTCAAAATCGTTGTCAATGGCGCAGATGTATTCAGTCTCTGTAATCTTTCATATTCCTTTCTACCATTACTCATTCTGTTTCACTCTTATACTTGTCAAAACTCTATTGATTCTCTTCACTCATTTTCTTGTCTACCTTTGTGTGCTATTTGGAACGTGGCAACTGGAACTGTTGCACTTCGTTGCCAAGTTCTATGTTGAATCCAGACAGACAGACAGGATATGGATAGATTTTTCGACCACATAAACTCACTAGTGGAGGTAAATCAATTCAGTTATGAATTGGAAAGTCAGGAAGGGGAGCTCCCAATGTTAGGTTGTAGCGTAAAAAGAAAGATGGGAAGTTAAACACTAGTGTTTACAGGAAACCCACACATTCAAACAGATATTTGGACTTCCAATCATCCCATCCTATGTCATTGACAGAGCACAAAAACTAAGTAGTGCTAGGTTCGTAGTTTTTTCTCTAATCAATGGGAGAGAATAGAATTTCTTTCTCACCCTTGTACATTACTCTGTTGACTTCATGCTGGAATATTCACAATCATTTGTTTGATGGAGAGGACCACTTGCTTTGTAACAAATATTTCATGTCCTTAAATTTAATATTACTTTCAAACATTTTGCCTCAGGAATGACTCTTTTAGTTAACTTAGTTTAGGAATGTGTTACACTAACTTTGCCCGCTCAATTATGTATTTGGTGCACATTTTTAATATATTCCAAATAGATTATGTTGGCGGCGTCATTTTGGTCACTTTTGGACCCAGCTTTGGAAATGGCCAAAAATGACCTGGGCCTGGGTGCATATGCTATCTTCCCAGTAATATCAGGATTGTTTTTCGGTGCAATATTTGTTGGGATGGTAGAATACTTCTTGCCTGCTCAGGTTAGTTTCATGCTTAATTCTCACGTAGGCATTGTATACTTTTTTTTATTCCTTTATGTTCCCAATGGAACATAGGGTTTCAAGCTATAGCTTTAAAGTTTCGATAGCAGTGGTGTTTATCTTTACGGGATGTGGTTGCTAGCCTCATGCCCAACCTTCCCTCTTTACTAGGCTTTTTACTGGATTAGTGAGATAAAGGATTGCATCGACCGGTGATCGCACCTTGAACCGCATGCGTGGTTGGCGAGTATTCTACTGCTGTGCCACTGACGCCAGGCATTGTATATTGGAAAACTTAATCATAAATTAATATGAGTGTAGAACTTAGTCACTGTGGTAGAAAGTAAGAATGTGGATAAGTTTATATGACATAACACAGAGGGATACAGTATTAATATTTCGATGACGTTTCGATCACAATTTATCTACACAGCGTCGTAATTTGCTTTATATATTTCTTTCTCTCCCTCCCCCCTCCCTCGTTATTTGTCGCAAATTTCCGTATCGACACTATAGGCGTTATTTCTCTTGCATGTGTTTGGTGTTGATTCGATGAGCACAGATTCAGTGATTAACCTCTTTCTCCACCAAACTATAGCACTTTTTAATACTTTCATTCTGTCCCACCCTTGTATGATTACATACAAATGAATACATTACAATGACAGAGCTTTCTCTCTAGGTTATTTAGCTTATTTAGCTCAGCCAGGTCAATCATTTTACATTTAGTTACATTTTATTCTCCAATAATCTAATTAACGCCGATCTACTAGTTTGACCTATGCAGCTGACCTCATAGTCATTTCATGGTATTTGGTAAATTATATTATCTTTCTTAATTGTATCTACCTTTCGGGTTCTTGAGGCGACAGAATTTGTCTCTGAGGTTCAGTTGGTGTAAATGTCACCCTGATTGGAGCCTCGTTAAGAATCCTATGTACGGCTTCCTATGTTTCTTCTTTATATCGCAGTACTACAGAGGCTTGGGATTCCATTTTATGTATGTCATTTTCATTAGTACGTTTATTTTTTTTACCGGTCTTAGTACATTTCTGAATAATTTTTGATGGGTATTTATTCACTGGTAATATCTCCCTCATTTGTTTGACTTCATTATTTAAATCTTCTGGGTTATTACCTAGACTCCTGGGCCGAACATATGGGCTATTAAAAATTGATATAGTTAAGTCACCGATGATACATTCCTAATTGTGGTGAACTGAATTATGCGTCAGACTGTGCTTGAGAGCGAGGAGACAGGATTACGCTGGACCACAGATAAGAAGACTCTGGATTTCGCAGATGATATATGTCTGATATCACACAAACTTGAAGACTTACAGGCTAAAACCAAAAAAACTGGCTGAAGAAGATGGCAACGAAGACAGGACCCCAGGTGAACATGGAGAAAAAGCAGGTGATGAAGATAACCAACCAACAGCGACAACAAGCACCGTCAACGGGAGAGATTCGATAGAATATGGTATATCAAGTAAACTTATGTTATCTGGAATTAATCGTAACTTGTTGATGTCATTAAGGGTTTTGAGTTACATCAAGCAAATCTTTTTATATCAGTTTGCGTGTCATCTTTCGGTTGTTTACTGTCTTGCAGTAATTCACTTTTAACTAGGTGATATAATGACATTTGATTCTTCTTGTTCTTCAAGACACACTGGTCTTCTCTTTCATGCAATTGTCAATGATGTTTACTGTAGTTGCATTAAAAATTCAGATTGCTGTCATTCCTGAACCGTCTTCTTATGAAGAGTGGTTCTATTTAAAAAATACTCCTTTCAATAAATTCACTCCCGGTGCTAACTGCTTTAATTCTCTTTATGAGAATATTTCATACCCTAGGTTTTGTTTCATGACCTCCATGCTTTTGTCGTCATCTAAAATTGCATTAATTTACTTTGTCTACTTGCAAGTAGTATATTTTGACAGTATGAATTTATTTTAATATCTTTTGGTGCTAACGCCTTGTCTAGCTCTGTTTAAGCTAAGGCTTAACTGAACTCACTTACTGACAGGAAATAGCATATCACTTAATTTCACGCTACTAATGAGTGTCAACTCAAAGGACATAGAGAACACCTCGTAATTTCAAATGTATGTGCACACCTTCAACTGATCCGTCTAAATTGTCTTGACCTTTGCTTATTTTCGCAGTTTCTTGTTGTAAAGCTTACTAAGAAAAAATGTTATGTTAACCTGGATGGTGCTTTTATTTCTTGGTAAAATAATTCTATGGTTAATCAGTAAATATATGTAGATTTTAGCATATGTGCAACAGAAAGCATCGATATACTGAAGAAAAAATATTTTTAACATAACGGTTTCACAAAATAATTTGTGAAGTATACTTCTATGAAAGTGTAAATGAAGTCTAGGTGTTCATTCCTATCGTAAATCCTTTTTGTGAGCTAAATTTCCCAAGTAGAAACGAGTATAATTCCTTTATGGGTAAATTTTGTTTTGATAAAGTCTCACAGTGTTATACAGTAATGTTTACTGATGACGTTTCGAGCACAGTTTATTGCTCATAATCATAGTATAGTAATATCATTGATTCAATACAACAAAAGTGTGAACTGTTAACTGACCGATGTTTAGAAAGTTACCTTGCTTCACTTCTAGCCTGCTATGCATACTTATTATCTTTACTGTGCGAACCGTAAAAACACTTTAATAGGCTATAGCAATTTCGTATGGAGGAATGCGATAAGCCACTTCAACTGGGGTTTTATGATTATTTAACATTTAATCAATCAATGTACATGCCGGTGATCTGTGAAAACTCGGGCATAGATAAAAATAAATTATCCCAAAAATAGTATTAAACAGTAAACTGGGTATGTTGATGATATTGCATATAACTATGTGGCTAGGAAGTCTATCGGTATATGAAATATTGTGTAGTTTTTATCAGTACTATAGGGTAGTGCCAAGATCAATGTGGACGTTGTTAAGTAAAATTTAATTTGTAACTAAGGGTTGGGGATTGGTAAGTACTGACGAGAGTTACGCAATATGAGATAGGATTTTAATGGAGATACGTGTCCAAAAATAAATTATGTAATAGATAGAAAGAGTAAATAAAGAATTGATTAATTAGGAAGAAAATGTTACTAAGATGTCATACAAAAATTCAAAAACAAAACAAAACATTATTTACAAAGTTGTAGAACTTGGATTCTGGGGACATCACTCGTACCAAATTCCCATGAAACTTCATGAACTCCCTCACAAACGACTCTCACCATGATTCGAAATGTTCATGAAGCCGGCTCATCCTCCCGTAGGAGATAACCGAAGTAAAGTAAAGTAAGTAAAGAACTTGGATTTATACCCAAGGAGAAGTTTCTTCTGTGTACATAAATAAGGGTCTTCTATCAGGATCGCTAAGGCCTCGGCAACGCAAAGTATACGGAAGCTTACTGTTTTTGGGAGGCTTCTTTTGACTTTGTAGATGACACTGAATGAATTCTCCCTACATATTGAGTGACCAATGTTGACTATATTTTCAATTATAGCATTCCTTATTGATCCACTGTTACCTTTTCTTAGCCAAGCAGGATAATGTTCTTTAATTCTTTTAGATGAAACACGCATCAAACGACCTATATATCTCGTTTCACATGAACAAGTATATTGGTAGATACACTCAGAAGTGATGAAATGCGATAGTTTATCTTTTGAGTTGTTGAAGAACAGCGGGCGGCTTGAGAATACTATTCGCAATGTACCAGCAAGGAATGTTCTTTTCAGGGCGTCAGATACTCTTCTCTTTAAGATGTCGGCCAGAAGGTCGCCTTTGAACGCCACATTCATGTATAGCCTCTTCTTCGGCACAGAGATGGATTGTTCTTAGTTGATTTTCGGCTTTATGTGTTCATCTATAAAGCGTAGTGGGTAACCATTCTCAAGTAGTGTTTGCCTCAGTAGAGTGATCTCCTCTCCTACTGATTCGCCTGCATATTCTGCTGATTCTAGTCTCAAGAGGTATTATCAGGTTGTGCTTGCGATTGATGCGTATCTGACTGTAGAAGTTTTTCAGCTGGCCGTTGTGGATTTTTTTGGGTCGTTTTTTATTATACTAACACCATTCTTTTTGTGCTTAGATCCTCGTATCCTTACTATGATGTTATTTTTCTACGGATTAAGTTTTTTTGTTTCTAACTTATAATGTAAAATAAAATTTCACTGCATTATCTATTCCAGCGGAGATGTGTCACAAGTTATATGAAGTCCTCATTTAATATTGTTATTATTATTACTTGTCAGAGGTCTGCAGTGCCGCTTTTAGATTTTAACAGTCAGTTAGTTTCCTGTAATTGGCACTTTTATTTGTCTTTTAAGTGTGAATATCTTAGGTCTGGATTATTATGCACGCTAGGGTTCATATATTATTTTTTCTTTAAATTCTAGTGGTTCGAACCTGTATCTGATGTAGCTAGTGATTCTTCATATATGCAGCGTAAAATGAATTCTATGGAATCATTAAGTGAGTCGTCACTATGACCTTGTGTTGCTACTTTAAATTATTTTCAGATATATATATATATTCGTTTACTACTCGTATTTTTGAATGAAAGCAAAAACGCAATCAGTTTTTAGGCGCCATGGATTATACACATACTATGCATTCTTAGAATATACGACAAAAGGAGCTGTAATGAAATAATAAAGCACTGGTCTATTTTGTCGATTCTTTTTAGCTTCTAAGTAGCCTATACTGTAACACTCACTATGTAGGCTAATATACAAAGTTCATGTTCGTAGTTGACGATGTTATTTTCCAGTTTTAACAACCACTCTTCCTTCAAATTATTCTGATTCTGAATATTCTATAGGAATATTTAGATTCTGAATTGCATGTCTTCGAATTTCAACCTACAAGTGTAACGGTAGGCTTTTGGTTTTGATTGGTTGTTGAGATGATATCCGCTTATCAAAGCAAAATTTATAATAAAGGGAATTAGGAAATCTTATACGCTATGAAATCCCGAACACTTGCAAATTATTGTTAAACTTTTTTTTACTCGTTCCTTTGGTTATGAGTGGTGCATATGACTTCAGCGGAACGTCTCCACTACACCCCTTTCTGCGTCATCACTTCTAACTGGCTCTATGACTGCTCACATGGTCCTCCCCACATAACCTTCGGACACCCATTCAAGTTTCCACTCAAGGTCGTGGCGTTTGATGTCACTCGTCTCTTTCGCTAACCTGTCCTAAATTCGGAAAAAGGGAGAAATTTGGTTTTGATGGTAGCGATCACACCCTGTCGCTAAAGAAACTTCCAACCATAAGGGAAACAATGAAGACACCTATGTCAACTTATTTCAGAAGTCGTATAATTTCTCAAATGTAAAATAATTGGAGTTTGTTATGAGATCATAGTAATTTAAAATTCATGTTTGTGACCCGCTCAATATTGTGTAAGTGAATTCAAGTGATGTAACACACCATTGATGGTAACGTGTTGGGTGAGTCAAAATCTTTTGGCTACCGGTACTATTCGTGAACCACTTCGTTTACATACAATAATGTGATCTAAACATCACTCGACAAATATAAGGGCAAGAATGAATTAATATTAGATAATTGTTTTGCGTAAATGTAGATGCTTTTAATAATGTTTAAGCTGTTAACGTCATTTAGTACGCTTGCATAAGTGATAATTTGTGCATGGCATTAGGCAATTTTCTGAAAGTTTTTAAAATGATTCAATTGTTTCCATTAGTTTTTTCTTCCCTCTCTTTTTTTTCTAACCATAACATCATATGTAATTAAGCCTGTAATAACTTATTTCAGTATCACACATATTATAAATCACAGTTGTTTTCATGTGAATTATTTGTTGACTGTTCAATTGGACTAGGTGTTTAGCGAAATCCACATTAAATAGTGAAATGGTTCTCTCTTCCACTTAACTTCTAACTAATTACAGATGAATCGCACAAATCTACTGACAGTTTCATGAATGAGTATACTGAATCTGATATCAGATTACGTCGCGGGGATACTTCACAGAATGGATCTTACGAGTCACCTGAATTCATAGAAGATGGAAAGAACAGAAAACAGCCGAAAAGAATGTTAATGACACGGCGTTTGTGGTTGCTGTTAATAGCAATTACTGTGCATAATATACCAGAGGGGTTGGCTGTTGGTATTGCATTCGGTGGAGTTGGTCAATATCCACACGCTACTTTTTCACATGCCAGGTAGGTGATAAACATAACAAAATTGTAACCTGCTAATGCTTTGTGCAATCTGTAAAAGTAGTAGTAGTTGCTGTTGTTGTATTCTCTGTCTACATAACATTACTCTTGAATACAGACTCATGTGTATATTATACGTTGTGGTATACTCCGAGTTATCCTACAGTGTCGTCACTTCAGAAAGTCAGATTAGCTCGGTTAACAATGCTCAAGCGAAAAATATCATTTCCAGTCGACTACCTAAACCACTGGGTTGCCTACCACCTACTTGCAGCAACCCAAGTGGTCAGAAGATCTCGTTCTCAGCCTACCTAATTGCCTTTTTCATGTTAGATGAAAGAAACATGGGAGTGATGAAACGGAGACTTGATCAGAATCTACAATAATGTAAAGAAAATCTGATAATTTTCAGGACTCGTTATGGAAACCTGACCATTTACGTGTGATGGTCAAAATGTCTTAATGATGACATACACACCTATGCGAACTTATTTTAGACGTCGTACTATGATTTTTTGAGACTGTGGTAATTTAGAAGTCATATTTGTTTATGGATTTGTGATTGGCTGCATCTAAAGTAGCCAATGAGACCACATTGTAGATAATGTCAGTGGAGAATTTCAATTACCTATGCAAATGCTATTGACGATATCTCAAAAAATCACTTTGTGTACAAAGGGTTTGCTAAAGCATAGTTTAAAATAAATGTTCAGTGATATATGAATAACTAATAGCATTAATCTTCGGTATGATGTTTTATTTTCCACCTTTTTTTTGTTTTCCTGAATACCAGTAATCTTGCAATCGGGATAGCTATTCAAAACTTCCCTGAGGGTTTAGCTGTCAGCTTACCTCTGTATTCTGCTGGTTATGGATTTCTCAAAAGCTTTTGGTAATTTCATTTTGAAAATGTTTTTTTAAAATTTTTTTGTTCTGAACAATTATAATTTGTGTTGAAATTATCACCGTTGTTTGACATCCAGTTGTTTGTAAATTGTTTACAGAACATTCACTTTGAGACATTATTTATAAATGGTGATTCCTCTTTAAGAATCACTCTGAGAAATTTATACTCGTAAAATGGGTATATTACTATGTTAATACTGGAACCTAAGAGTAACAAGCACTTTTGTCCTTTTGCTTATTTTAGCCATATATGAATTAAGCTGTTTGCTGCCGCATTTGCTGAGTAATTTTACGGCTTTTTTGAAGGGATGGAATGAAATCCCCTACCAGCAGTCATTTGCAAGCATAGGAGTGGTAACTGGAGACCTTCAGCTTTCTGAGTTATGTTCATTGTGCAGTTTAAAGTTTGCACTGTGGGTATAGTTTCCTCTGAAATAACTGTGAAACTGTTTGATGAATGATAGTTGGTCTTCTTGATTTTTATCTTTACGACCGAAATGGTTTTGGGATACAGATCCCGCTGTATCTAATTTAGCCCGTGTAACTAACTGATTAGTATCAACTGCAGCCTCTGCTTTACTTCCAGGTGACTGAATTCTCCCTTCACACTTTTCAAAATTCATCCATTCAAGTAGACTCTTCCCAGTGTAAGTGAAATTTCACATGATGTTTTTATCAAGCAAGATTTTCATTACTCGCTGCTTAAAGATGAGATGAACCTTCAATGTTACCGGTCCTTATGTAAGAACTTATGTAAGTCTGTGTGGAGGTCAACAGCACTCATTATGAAAAATAAGATCCGGATTTTCAACGCCAACGTGAAGTCAGTCAGTGCTACTATACGGATCAGACACTTGCACTGCGCGTCATAAAGAACATCTCAAACAAACTACAGACCTTCATTAACAGTTGTCTTCGCTCAATACTCAAGATAAGATGGCCGGCCAGAAAAGATCAGCAACAGAGATCTCTGGCAATGAGCGAACCAACCAGGAACCGATTGTGAAACAAATAGGCAGGAAGAAATGGAGATGGATTGGTCATACTCTGAGGAAACCATCAAGTGACATCACTAGACAAACCATCGCTCGAGTGGAACCCGAAAGGGAAGCGGCGAAGTTGGTCGTCAGTGCGAGGGTGACTTGGAGGAGGTGATGTGAAGAGGAGATGAAAACGTGTGGGCAGACATGGAGTCAGGTGAAGACTCTAGCAGAGAACCGAACGCAATAGAGACGCACGGCTGAAGCCTTATGTTCCTGTAGGAATTAAAGGAAAGAATAATAATGTAAGAACATTCATTTTAGCTTAACCTTTTAAGAGGTTGCTGATTACTATTATTCGTATTTACTGGATCACAAATATGCATAAAAGCAATTCTCAGGTATACCAGATCTTCATGTACTTATTGTATGTGTGCATTTATTTATATTAGTAACATATTACTTTCCCATATATCTTTTTTAAAACTTAGGTATGGACAATTGTCTGGACTAGTAGAACCTTGTGCGGGACTTATTGGTTGTTTAGCTGTACACTTTTTCCGCAAACTTCAACCTTACGCTTTGGGTTTTGCTGCTGGTGCAATGGTATTTGTAGTATTTGATGATGTTCTGCCTGAATCTCATTCTAGGTAATTAATTGTGTTTTTCTTTTCAAATTTCACTCCTATCATTTGCTTACATATAAAAGTAAATCAGTTAAAGGATGTAAGCGAGCTTCTGTCTTCGTCCTTAACAGTTAGTTATCTAATTTGAATGATTGTAGAAATCAATTGAACTAATAATACTGCTGCTACTAATACTACAAACAGTTGTAGTAGTGTTAAAAACTGATCAAGAAAATGTCGTCAACTGAGATCTGAGATTTTCTTTTCAACAGTAATCAGTGAAAAAATCTTTTATATTCAGTTCCTTTTTTTTCAATACTCACAGGGAGGTTGCACAAAACTACAGTTAGACGGTTTCTCTGTCGTCGCTAAACACTTTACATGAATTTATGTCTATCTAAAACTTTGAGGAACAGTAACAATCAATCATCGCCTAGAAACAGCGAAAGTGAAATACCGTTCGAAACATTAATCGCTTGAATATTATTCACAACTTTCTTGATCTGTAGGAAGCAAAAGATCTTGACTTCATCATGGTAAATGTGGAGAGAAAAAAGACATAAGTTAACCAGTCCTTTTCATTTTTTCTATGTCGCTTCATGAATTATGCCATAATAGAGAATTTTGTGATAAAAAGAAGCCGCTCAGTCGAATGAAATTTTTTGTTATAAAGCAATGCATGACCGTTTTGCTTTAGTTGGCTAATCAATATAATAATGTTTCAGCGAAAACGGCATTTCGTTATGTTCCGTGTAATATGTGAACGGCAAATTTTCGGCGACTTTGTGTCAATATATACAAAAATAAGAATGAATTGTATGCAAGGTTTTAATTTCACCGCCATTATTGGAAAGAGAATGCCTACAAACACATTCATTTGCATATAGACGTACATTATTTGACTTATACAGCTGTGTTATATATTATTACCGGTTTTGAAATATTTAGCCGAAGAGGGGATATATATATATATATATATATGTACCGCAGAACACAAGAATTGTTGGCTACAGGACCTTTATTTGCAATTCGATATACACATACGGGGGAATTATGTATCCCACATATTAAAATCATTTGCAAATATATTCTGTTTTCGTATTGTGTTTCTTCGTCTTCTTTTCGTGTTTCCCATGTTTCGCCGCAACACTGGTTCATTTCCTCTCTTTGATATCAAATCTCTCTCTCCATCTCTGCTGTTTGATATTTTTGTGCCGATGAACGTCTCTTTATTACCACTGATAAATCTTGTCCGTAGTACATACCGCATATATACTGCTCACTGGTTCCACTTTTTCCCTAACTTTAATACTTTTCTCTGTGGGCATACAACTCATCTTGTGTTCAGTATAATGTTTCAGCTGTTTCTGTATGTGTAAGCCTGTGCTGATACTATTTGGAAAGCTAATAATCAGGAATGAAAAATGAAAGCTATTTTGTTTTGTACTTCATAAGTCGTTAGTAGCATGTCTAATAATTGTGTGATTATTTCCACAGGTATTTCGAGGTCTAATTGAATTATTATCATCATTAATTGATTTCTATCATCCTCACCTTTCGGATTTCCTTCCTTCCACTGTGTTTTTCATGATCTTTGTGTGACTTTCATCTTTTTCTTTAATTGGTAGGAATTCACTTTTCTGAAACATTTTATTCTTCGTCATATATCATCTGCTACGCGTCTATGGTTCAATAGCAGAATGTTCACCAACCAACCACTCACGTAACCTGTATTCAATTCCAGGCTGACACACTCCAAAACCTCATTTTTCTGGTAGTAGAAAAGGAAGGCTGGGGACCACACTCGTAAAAAAGAACACCACCACCGCTACTGAAACTTCAAAGCTTGAGACCTTATGTCCCACTGGTTACTTGGAGGAATGAAAAAATGTTCTACGGCAAAAAGATCCTGAAGTATGGCTTTCGATTATGGGCGATATATTAGAAGGTTAGCGGGGGAGTGGAATCAATCAGTCCCCGTTTCATTCAGGTTGAAAGTTCTACATCGGATCCCAGAACAGTTTAACGGTGGAATAGCAGGAAATTTACGAAGATTTGAAACTGTCTTGTTTTATGCTGTAAATAAAGAATTATTTCCATCAGTTTCTTTGTTAGTAATAATAATAATAATATATTGTCAACGAAAAGTTGCTTTACTGTGAACACCGAATAGTGAACAGAAATGAGGTACCATAAATTGTACTCAGTCGCTTTTTATATCTTTGTACTGGATTTCACAGCCTTGACCCACCTACTCTCTTTTCTGCCTGTCTTCACCACGTTATATTATTGCTTCATAATTACCTCTGCCAGTTAAATTGCAATTTTCTCTTTATTAATTTTAAGTATTGTTTTAAATAATAGTGGATGTTATTGAATAGTGCTAAAACCTCGTATTTCTATGCCTAAGCCCCTTGTGAACGTTAATAGGTCTATCTTGTTGTCTGTTTGCTCATCCGAATTGTGTGTTTTGTTTGTATGTAAATCACAAGGGACAATTTAGACCGAGAATTTTATATGATGTGTATTACATTTTTCGAATCGCGTACATATTTTCATTTATTTAGTTTAGACATTTTGATGAAGTCCCAGGTTTACAAAGATGAGTGAAGGAATTTTGTGACAACTAATCTGCTTTAGTTAAGGTGTATTCTGGTAATCATCTAATATCTCCAATATCTTGTAGGTGAAATTGATTTTTAGGAAATCTCATGTTGTCTCGTGGAAGGGGATTACCTGAAACTCAAAAGTAAACGATGAATTTCCTTATCAAGGTAATAGATGAAGTTACTAGCATTTAGTAATGGAATGAACAATTCAGTCTTGATTTTGATTCATTGTAAAGTATAAATCGTAAAAATAATAATGACAATAATGAGTTCCTTTTGCATATAAGAAACCATACGCTTCTTATCTCAGCATCTCAGTAAGCAATAAATCTACGTTATTCTCCGGTTTTGTAATATAATTGATGATTATTGAAGGTGAGATGATGATGATGGACACACTGTGAGTATCTTTCGAATATCGGAAGTTCCAAGTCATTGCCACTGTGTGACATAGAATAGCAGTGGATCAAACAAGAAAAATGATTCCACTCTCCTACTTCTTATGATATTTTCATCTTTACATAGAGTGCATAGTTCTAAAATACTTCATAATTCTCATGAAGTTAACACCACATCTTTTTTTATCCTATAAGTATTTCCTTTCAGAGTGTCTACCTACCTACCCCTGTCTTTAGGTTAGTCTTGCTTATTACTTTCCTTCAACTGTGTACAACCGTCTTTGTCATATATGATGGATACGGGTTAAACAAGTGCAGAATAGGATAAGGTAATTGATAAACAGATATACTGTTAAGTCATTTGTGTTCTGACCACTGCATGTTTTGCATCAATATCTGGTCACTTTGTTTGTTTCTCACTGTGATCAGTTGGTAAATCACTTTCATGCGTGCATACACTTCGTGCTTTTAATTCTTTGCTTGGCATACTTCAGGTCTATCCGTGCCTGTTTCATGCTTGAAACATACCTTGTTCTTATTTGAATTACCATTATTGTTCTTGTTGGTATTTTCTCCTATTTCATTTGATGTTTGTGAGTGTGTCTACCTGCTGGCTATTTGTTTTTGTTTCGCTACATTTGCATATTGAATACACGTGAAAATGAAATAAATAAAGAAATAAAGGGACACTAATATTTGCTTAATTGTTACTGTATATCTAAGTATCTCTAATGGTAAAACATACACCAGGGGAGAAAAAAGAATAGAGCGGGCTAACATGGCGTCCTTTACTTTTATTAGTATTACTGTTAAACTACGCTAGATATCAGTGTACAGTTGCTATTCTAATATCGGTAAGTGCTAATAACTTCCTTTTAACATCAGAAAGATATTATCGCAGTCGCCAACATTATATTATGTTTAATCAATGAAAATGTGTATGTCTTCTCTGAGTCGTTCACTGTTACTCCCTGTTTCTTTTTCCGTCTATACGGCTGTTTATTTGTTAATTCACCTTACAAAGAATAGTGTCGTAGTAAGTCTGTATGGTATTTAGCTTCGTAGTGTGAACTACCTTATGGTCATGAGAAGCGATTAAACTGTTGTAGGCTACATCGGTTTGTTTCATCCTTTTTATTACCATGAATTTCTATCTTAATCCTTAACTTTGAATTAGACGCTGACGACTAGCTGAATGAAAATCAATGAATATACTCCTTATTTTCGGCACCTTTCGGTGCTTGTTTTATTTCAAGCATGTCCCATCTTTGTATGGGGATACCTAGATGGTTGCACGTATTTTTTTATTCATTGTTCGTATTTTCATTATCTTAGTGTTATGTCATTTGATGCGACCACAGCAAACAGCTTTTTTATCGATAAAATACTGGTGTTATCTAATGGGATAAATTTAGTGTGAAAAGTAAGGTAAAAAAGTTTACCTGACTGATGTGGTGTGTGCTACTGACAAGGTTTGTCAGTAGTATGTAGATACACATTGATATAAAGTGACTGAAATTGTAATCAACATTTTAAGTCAATGGCTGCAGGAGTTAGAAGTGTTTATCCCTCAGTTTCGGACTTACTTCACTTTGTGGACGTGAAATAATCTCATTGGGTAACTTTTCGTCCCATTGTTTACCCTTGGACAAATCGCCAACCAATCCGAATAGTTTGTTGTCTGCTGACCTAGCCAACTTCTAATGTGGTTAAAAATGTACATGATGTGTCTTTCCTTAATAAACAAGTCCGTTATCAATTCTCTTATCTTCTGTCTTTACAACAGCAGTTTTCGATGCTCATGTTTGTAAATTTTCTTATTTGTAATTACTAATTAAGCATAAAAGTTGTCCTTTGCTTCAATACTTCTTAACTTTTATCAACTTAAAATCATTTAAATTATTTACCAAAAAACTCTGTTACTATTTTTACCCCGTTTATAGAACTCAGAAGAAATCTTCATTTATTTCAGTTTTTTCCCTTAATATTTATCTAATTAACCACTCATCTTTATCCTCAGTTCTACTCACTGTTTGTGATAGTTATATACAAATGTTGATAGTTATCAAAAATGTTGTCTTTCCCATTGTAGTATTATTGTAACGGCAGAGCACTAGGGCATTTGATAACAAATTATTTATTGGCAACTCAATGTAACGATATAACCAAATTGCATTTACCATATATTAAAATCTCAATCTGTAAATGTCTTTCGTATTGAGCTTCTTTGCCTTCCTTATGCGTTTTCAATGTTGTTTCACAAGAGTCGTTCGTGTCCTGTCTACGCCATTCAAGCTATCTGTCCGCTATTCAATATTCTTGCAGATGATATACATATGTATATCTGTATCGTCATATCCCTTATAAATCTTGTCAGTAGCTCAAGCCATATTATTACATATTCTCTATTTTTCGTTCCTGTGTGGGTCTTTCGCAATACAGTGATTACTCGTACCATATCCGCGTCTTGAATGTATCGAATGCTTATTAACTTGAATGTAGTTATGTACCAGTACTGTGTAAACTGCACGTGTTCAAAGCTGATAGTATTTAAGAAGGAAAGTCAATACACAGATTACTTATCACATACTGCAGTCTGGGAGTTGTTTGAGCCTATCTCTTACTCATTCTTCTTCTTCTATCTGTTGATCAAATGGACACCTGTAAAAGTTGGGCAAGTAGTATTTGTCTCAACAACTTTTCTACCAGTTATTACTCTTCCAATCACTTAAATTTATTCTTTTGAACGGTGAATTGTTGTTTTAGACGTCCATCCAACGATAATCTCTTAACCCGAATCCCTGGTTAGACTAGTAAACAAATAAATTTTAAGTAACAACTTGTAGAGTGATGATAGAGAACCAGGTTATAAGTATAAAACATGGGCACTTTGGTGGAGTATAACTCCATTATGGATAAGATTTTATTTTGATAAATCACACATTGTTGTACAGTAATATTAACTGATGACCACGTTTCGAGCACAAACTATTGCTCATAATCATATCAAGTTACTCATACAACTTTTTACTTCATTTATATACATGAGTGGAATTGATTAGATATTTGGAGAAGAAATCAATATAGGATAATGTACATTCAGAAATAATAATATGAGTGTTATCAACCAAATGCAATCAGATGGGACACAGGACGACTGTTTTTTAGTCACAATAAGTAACTTGTTATAATGTTATAGTGAATGTGAATTGAAATAGAATTTTGAGATTATTTATTATCCTCCTCTGATTTGACTGGCGGTGATGATATCTTCCATATCTCTGGTATTTGCGTTGAGTCATTTCTGTTGCATGTGTTCCAGGGGGCTTTCCCCCGGTGGTTGTCAGCGGCCGAGAAGCTTTAGCAGATAATGATCAGAGCCCAGCTTCAGATCAAAGGATTGATCGAGAATCAGTCAGTTCGCACTGAATGAGTTGGTGCTGCTGAAACTAGCAGCATCGGCTCGGGCAAAGGCGTTATCAGATAGGGCATTGAGGATATGAATGAAGTGGTGGACTGGCGGGGCAATTCTGAGAAACGCCTGCATTCGTTTCTTCCAACGTGGGTAATTCCACCACACTTGCAGCGTTGGTGGGTGGGAAAGCGCCGGTACACTTGGCAAGGTGGATGTGCAATCCTCAGGAAACAGCTTGGTAAGATGATCGTCATATAAAGTTTCCATGCTGTGAACAGATAAAACACCGACACCAATTTTTAATGCACAATGGCAACAGTTACAACCGAAGAAGGAAGAAGACGAAGAGGGCGTTAGTGATATGTGTATTTTGACTAAGCAAAGCTTGAAGTGAGCGGATACAAAGCTAATTGTCATCATTTTTAACAAGTCCAGCTAAAAAGTCCTCTTCTTGTTCCAGTAGGGTTACATCAGCGTTCCTTTCTGAAAGAGAAGAGGACAAAAACTTATTTAGTGACATTATACTGGACTTTATCCCATTAAATCACCTCCTCCCTTCTGTAGGCACTAACCTCAGTGTCTGTCGGTGGAATGTAGTATGCATTGCCTCCATAAGTCGGCACCTCGACGTGGTTATTAGTGGGCGGCGATTCTGAGGAATTCTTCGGTTCCTTGACAGCTGCTGGATAATGCGGTTTCAACTGATTGTAATTAGCGGAGATAAAGTCGTCGCAGATTCCGCAAG